ACTCTGGTTAAAGCTGCGAAACTTCTTGAGGTCTACGATGACCTCTGGGTCATTCTTCGGGGCCCCAATATAACATATCGACGGTGCAAGTCGGCAATCACATAACTCGGTTTGCGACGTTGCAGACTTCCTGTCATACCTCATTTTTTAAACGGAAAACTTGCCGTTAATTCTTTAAAACTGCCGTGATTTTTCTTCTCGGTGCGAAAAAAAATTCTGCAAAAACTTCAAGGAATGATGTAAATTTGTTCTCTTTTTAAAAAAATAACATAAAGGCGGAGGTTTTTAAGACACCGCAAATGAGTTACGTGATTGCCGACTCACACCGTCGATATGTCCTCCTCAATGTGTACCTACACTGAAAAATGCCCGATAAGTCCAGGCTTCTCCCCAACCAACATTCTAACCTTTTTTTCAATATCATGGATTTGCCATTTTCATTTCTAGACTCTTGCCCAGCCCAATGGCTATTTACTTCCGAATATCTTGAGGTAAAAAAAGGAGTTAAGTCATAAAAGTTGTTAATGATCATGCTGAGCGCAAAATTACTTGTGATGTCCACGCACAACAGGAGGATAGGTAACATCAGAATGGAGAGCTTGCTTGTGTTAGGAGTTAGTGATTTAAGTACTGATTATTACGCACAATTCCGCGAGAAACACGATGGTTTCATCAATTTCCTCCAAGACCATTTCCAAAACTGAAAAAAGCTGTGAAAGTTGATGCCGTAATAGAGGGGATATTCCACGCTATCCTACCTCTGTATCAAGCCAAACTCTCCATGCTAAGAGCGAATAATATACATTGAAAGGGTAGCCACTTTGTTTGGGGTTTCCAAAACTAAAAACACGTGTTTTCAGTTTTGACCGCAATCCTGCGGATTCATTTCGACGGTGTGAGTCGGCAGTCACACGACTCGGTTTGCGAAGTCGCAGACTTCCTGTCATACTTTATTTTTCAAACGGAAAACTACTCAACGGCAATTCTTTAAAACTGCCGTGATTTTTCTTCCATGTGAGAAGAAAAGTCTGCATAAACTTCAAAGAATGGTGTCAGTTTGTTCTCCTTTAAAAAATAACATAGAAACGGAGATAATCAGACACCGCAATTGAGATATGTGATTGCGAACTTACGCCGTCAATTTGCTCCTTATATCTTAGCATAGAAAATTAGGCTTATTACGAAGGTGGACTCTCAGGAAAGCGGGGATATCTTCTTCAATACGGCCTTAACTTTGAGAGTTTTTTTTTTAGTTTTAGGGTTTGTTTCAGAGAAAACCAGTGAAACCATCCTATCTCACGCGAAGTTTTACAAAGGAATCAATACTTGTAGTGCCAACTCGCCAACTCCCGTTATAAACAAGAGCTGCATTTTAATGATCTCCCTAATAGCCAAAATAGGATTATCGAATAGGTATCGGCCAGATAGGCTATTTTATAGCTATTTATTTTCTTATTTTATATGGTATCGTACAGATAGCATATTTTATAGCTATTTTGTAGCTATTCCATGCGCATTTATCTTGGTTTAAAATTTATGTTTGAAAATATGTATTTTATAGCTATGTACCTACTAGGTTTTTTTTTATTGTATATTTTCTTAAACATGTTAATGAATTTTCGCACTATTGTTAGTTGCAGCCTTAAGAACCATAAGATGATAAGTACATTGCAACGCTCCTATGATAGAGCAACTTTATTTTTTGCAAACCAAAATCATATAGAATTGCAAACCTTAATGCAAAAAAAAAATCAGCATAGCCCAGGGAATTTTTGCTAAAAGAGTTTCACCTCTACATGGTTTTGATTTGCTGCATTTATCGTATACAGTTGCACAATCTTGGCAACGTATCAATGCACTTACCACCTTATGGTTTTCAAGGTCTCAATTTTGGTTCTTTTTCAAAAGTAAAATACCTTTAAAATACCTTTTCAATGTCCATATACCTATTAAATAGCTATTCAGATACCTATTTTATAGCTATCGAGAAAGCTATAAAATAGGGTATATATAGTTGAAAAAAAGGACACTATATAGGGTATTTAGATAGGATATTTTATAACTAATTTCAGCTATTTTATACCCTATTTCATAGCTATTTGTGTACATAATAAATTGCTATTTCGATAAGTATTAAAAAGAATATTTTGGCTACTAGGGCTCTTACAAGTCACAGCCAAAGTCAATAAAACCATATAAAAATAATAAAAATAGTCTGTCAACCATTTTAAGACTCTAGGCCTTTAAGTAAACTGTGGATTATTTGACTTGGTTTATTAACTTTGTACTGTTTAATTTGTTGAAATTGATTTTCCTACATATAGCCAATATTTTACAAAGAAAATTTGTCTTTTTGATGTATTTATACATTTCAACTGTTTTTTAATGTTAAAGTGTATCCAGGTTAATTCGTAATGATACATTGCAACGGACGGGAACTTTCGGGCCCGCGTAAGCTTAGTGCGTGCGTGCGGCATGTCGCTTAGGCAGTGCAGAGGATGCGCGCGCGTTGCGCTACGGCGCGGCGCGCCCATTTTGCTGCTAGTCTCTCGTTGTGCGCGCCTTTCTCGGGTGTTTTGCGGCTTTAGCGTTGCAGATACGACCAAACGGACGAAATTTTCGCCCTTAAGACCCGTAACTCGGCGTTTGCCATGGGAAAACAGTGTTATTTTATCTAAAAATCTCAAATTTCAACTTGTGTCACTTAAGTCGTTTGAGCACCGGGTAAAAATTGTTTTAAATGTTTTTTCCTTGTACGAGGCTTCTAATGTATCCACACATCAACTTTTAAGACCAGGACCTCCTTCGAATTCGAAAATTTAAAAAATAAGAAACACCCTAGACCTCCGTATATGTAACTACCATTTTGGGGGGTCATTTGAGGGGGGGGGGTGCCCCCTCCTGCCTCCCCCCCCCAAAAAAAAAATTGAGACTTTTTTTCAAAGATCTTTCAGAAAAAAAAAAAAATTATTGCGAAATTCGTGATCCAAAATTAATTAATGCATGCAATAGAGGGTTAATTAATACGTACAAGGGCAAAGATGGGAGGGGGTTTGAATCGTGGCTACTGAGTGTTCCCATGCACGAGTATGTTCTTTTAAAATTCTTAGATTTAATCCTACGTTATAAGTCCTACGTTAAACTTGAGTGATTCAGCCACCTAATATTCGACTAAACAACCTCAAAATACAATTAACTACGTAAGAAAATTGATGGAAAAAGAGTAAAAGTTATTGTTACAGGCATTACACACACTATAAGGCTACTCTAGGAGGTAAAATAATCATGCTCAACTGTTTCAACCTTATCATCCCTCGTAAGCATACCTATATTTGTGTTGATGCTAGTGGTAAGTTTTTCGATGCTAAATTTCATTACTCCGCAACCAATCAGATGATAATGAAACTTAATGAAGACGTTGCTTTGAGTCATTTTCTGTAGGTAATCATGAATTATTCAAGAACCCTCAATACTGTAAGAAAATTGCTAATTACGGCTTTGTGGGCAAAAATGTCATAGTCAGTTTTAACGTACCTTGAAGCGTAAGGTTACAAACAGCCCAATGACGACGCGAGACCATGCGCTGGCCGGCCGCTGGGCCCGCGGGCCTGGCCTATACGCAAGCGGGGGGGGGGGGGGGAGCGCGCGAGCGCCTGGCACCGCGCTGCGACTCCATGCAGTGAAATGAAATTAACTGAGAGGTAACAGAGGTGATATTTAGGACACAAATTAGCAGTTTTATCATTTATTAGACTGCTACACTTACCGACGGACGAGAAAAGCGCTTCAGCAATCCTGCACTCATAAAATATAAAATATATACTTATCTGTAATTTTTGTAAAGACATGAAATGTATCAACGATCGAATGCAAAATGAAAATATGAGTTTCATATTTTTGAATGGGTTTTGTGTCAGTCGCTGGGTCACGTATATTGAGATGAGGAACCCGGAGTCTCTTTTGTAATATATAGTTGAGTTTGTTGTGGAATGGAATGAGTTAAAATTTAGCAATTATTCTATCTTTTAAGAGAACTTTTTGGGAACGTCATATAATATTGCATTCGCATTTTCTTTTTAAGTCATGAATGCCCGTTAAGAAGAAAGTGATAGGTGTCATTAAAATAATTTTTTATAGGTAAGCCGTCTTGACATTTTGTAGAAAAATAACGTTGATGATTCGATGCGAGCGTTATCGAGTCCAATATCAACATTTACCACAATACCAAAGTAGAGAGCGTTAAATATCTTATTTCATCAAATGGTTAACAGATGTTACCCAAAATATCAGAAAAATATCCATCTTTCTTATTCGTACTTATTTAATTTCTTTTAAAGGAAATTCAAGATTCATCATGAAAAGTACGTTTTATCCTGTAGACAGGTTTGCCAAAAACTGTTAAGCAGCAACAAAAATGCCCTCCGCGCGGGAGATGAATCTTGGGCGGTCTATAGATTAGATATGGGCTACTTTTTTTTACTAGCTGAGTGAAGTAGGAGCCCTCTTTTCTTCTCTTCTCTTCATTTTCTTCTTCTTTTCTTGAAATGACGGAAAAAAATGAGACATATTGAGCAAAAACTGCGAGAAAACGCAATTTTTACCCTTATTTAAGTTCTGCGCCTGCCAGCGTGCTTTGTTTTACTTTGAGCAAAAACATGCATAGGAATAATTACATAGGTACTTAATTTAACGAGTTTTGATGATAAAAACAACTAATTTGGTCGTCAGGTCAATTTTGGCGAGTTACAGGCCACAATCCGCCAAAAATGCCAATTTTAGCATTTTTCCGGTCCGAATTTTAGGGTGCAAAGTTAAAATTCGGACATAGCGTCAAAAAATTATAAAGGATTCCCTGAAAACATTGCAGCCCGGGATTTTTGCAGGCTATGACCTGTTTTTTGGCTTATTTGCCTGGACTGAAAGGAGAGAAAAAGAGAATGAATGAAAGGTCTTGCATATTTTTTTTACTAAATTCACATTATCTTTATTTGTTCTTCCAGTTCCGAGTTGTTGGCTGCTGTCTCGTACTAATATCGACAAAGCTGAATTTTAAAGAAGTTGTTTTTGTGAATATTGCCTGGCTACCTAAAGCTACAGTACAAGTAAGTTGTGAACTTTTAATATTGTTCATTTGATCCAGTCTGCAGCCTATAACTTTGGAAATACCTCTTTGATACCATAAAAATCCCAAGATTTCGTTATAAGTCTCGATACATGATCAAATTCTCGAACCAATTACCATTAACCCATTACCCATTTGTCGGGAGTCGTCAGTCTTAAAATCGTTACTTTGCTTAATTTAAAATGAAAACAGGGAAGAAATATTTCGTGTGGCAGGAAAAAATGAATGGTACGGCACTCCATTCTGATCAAAATTTGATGGCCCGTCCAATTTTTATCAAAGAGGACTGTTGCATGGTGACCATCAGTCATCAACTGGTCTACTTAGATCAGAGTTGATTCTGAATTGTATCATGTATCGAGACCCTACAAAGAGCTGAAATATGCTATTCCAGACTATCAAGCCACAAAATCAAGGGCACATATTCTCTGCTTTTGTGCCTAGAGTCCTCCCAGTTTCCTATTCCATCCAGGATGTTTCAGTTTTCAGTGGATGTAGCAATGCAGCGATGTAGGTACGGCAACCGCTCCAGAGAAAATTTTCAAGATAGGTAATTAATTCGGTTGGTAGGTGACTAGTACCTATTCCAAAGACGGACTGGGAAAAGCTCTGGAATGATAGCCATCAGGGGCAACAGTTGCATAAGTAGTTATGTTATTGGCTGGAGAGCAGTCCTGAATGGTGTCTTATTTTTGGGTTTTTCGAAATCCGAAAAGCGCTAAGTACCTCTCAAAGTTTCGCTCTGGTGTAAAAATAAACATACGTTTTGAAAAATTCCAAAATTTTAATTTTAACCCACCTCTCACGGGGCCAAAAGGGCCTAAGTGCAATGTTTGAATTTAGGTATGCATTTTTAAAGCGTAGTAAGGCAGAAATCAAAAGTTACGGCCCTTTGGGCGGAAACTTAGTCCGTTTTGCCGTATCGTGCATTTTAAAGGCATAGGTAAATAGCCTCTGAGACATATTTGCTGCGCCGCGCGCCCAGTGCCGGCCGCGCGCTTGCACGCAGCGCACACACCTTACTTACCTGACGCTAAAACGCGACCCGATGTCGGTCCGCGGAAACCCCTATTGGACTTTTTGTTCCTTTAAAACTACAAAAACCCTCAAAAACATTTTCGGGCAAAAAATCCGGTCAAGGAAATTG